TGTAGAAGGGGCATTCAGAGTCCTGCTGGAAGCAGTTTTAAGATGTCATCAAAGACTTTTTAATTCCTGGCAATAGTAAGCAAATGAAAAACAGTCACTGGTCTCATAAGGGTGCTGAACTTCATCTTTTTTCCATAGTTTTCCTTCAGACTTCCACCAACCAACTGCATGGGGACTTTGTTTCTCCTGTTTTGTTTTTTATTTCATAGTATGGTGGGATACACTCTGATTTCTGTCTAAATATTATCAACTTTTTAATGAAATAAAGGGATTATTTTACCTAAGTCTGGCCCTGCCCCTTAGAGTCATAAAGAAGAAATGGTGCATTTGCTTATGTGTCTCACTGGTTAAGGATCTGCATGAAGAAGGCTGATGGGCAGGCTGTGATGTTATTTCATGTTTTTTTCCATCTTGTGCTGACCCATAGAAGTTGATTTCTCTCAAGTCAAACATTTATATGTGGCTTAGGAGGTAATGAAGTATTTCTTTTTTTTTCTTTTTTTTTTTTAATGTAGATTGCCTGTTTAAAACTTTTATCTAGGATTTCACTCTTTGTGTTTAAAAGTCATTGTAGGATTGATATACATCTTGTTGGTAGCAGTGTAGGCTTAAAGAGCTTTTACTTATTTTGCTTACATTCTACTCTTTCACTTGTGCTAATGCAGTTGTTTGGGGGAGGGGCTACACAGTGAATTTGGCTGGGAAACTGGTCCAGTTAAAAATAATCCTTTTTTATCTGGATATTAATAACTCAGATGAGTTCTGGCATCCAGTTGGCTGTAGTACTCTACAAATGACTGTATCAGCAAAAATGAGAGGCAGTATTAGGGAATGTTTCTGAATCAGCAATGCTATGAAACTATAGCAAAACCCATTCCTTTTCATTTTTAAGTTGGAAGCTCCCAACTGGATGCTGCCCTGAGCCTATTTTGACTCTTTAGCATCTTTTTCTACTCTCTGACTTTTTAGAAGTACCTGCCAAACAGATTTTCATTTGCAAGCATAACTTCTTTTTATATTCTTTTATTTATAAAACACAAATTTGGAGTTGATGACAGCGTCTCAACTGCTTGTGGCAGATAACGTGTTACTGGTGAAAAATATCTGGACCCAGCTGTGGTAGCTATACATTTCTAGAGTCAGTCTAAGATGGCCATTGGTAAGTCTGAATGTGAGTATGGCCACTTGTTAACACAGGACAGGTGCATTTTTCTGACCCTTTGTTTATAGATGAAGTGTAACTGTGGTGGTGTAGCCTGATGTCTTTCTGCCAGAAGCACTGGCTGCATGCTTGAAGACGGAGAAAAAAGGCTGCGTTGTGAAGTTGGCCTGAAATAGCCAGAGAACAGAGCACATGAAATGTTGGGGATCTGTTTCCATATGCTGCTTTAAAGTGACTATAAACCAGTTATTTGGGTTGATACAGGTCTGTGAGATGGGTGGAGTTTTCCTCGTTGGTTAATTTATCTTTTTTTCTTGATTGCTTGAAACAAACAAGACCAAAAAGTCTTCAACATGCTTATTCATCTCAGTTACATAAAAAGGTACATACAGATATATTTTTGTCTTCTCAGTTACCTATCGATAAAATACTGTGGCTTATACATTTTGTAAAATATAATTGAAATGTTGCTCAGCATTAAATAGTGCATATAAGTAGCAGAATATGCAATATAAACTTGATAATCTTCTTAGATTGCATAAGCATGTAAAGTGGAAAGAGGTATTTGAGCCATCTAGTGGTTGGTATGAAACATTCTAACATTTTTTGATAGTTTGTAGAAAATGTAAGTGACATCGGCTTGGAAGTAGCATTTCTAATTTGTCTGCTTTTTAATGGCATGGCTGTAGAATGAAAAAAACGAGACATTCAACTTCAAATTTGATGTACAGTCTGTTTCGGTTTGCAGCTTCTTTTCAATTTACTGTAGATTTTAGTGAAGAGAGAGATCTGATAACATAAAAAAGACATTAGAAGTTAGTAGCCAAAGGATGAGTTTTGTTAGCATGACATCTTCAGAAATTGTGAGGGTTAAGAAGTTCAAGGAAAGGATTGTAATAAAATAATTTTGTTTTCTACTTCTTGCTGAAAAACATTTGGAGGGAAAAAAGTGGGCTTGTATTCTACCTCACCAGCTATTTATAGCAGGATTTTGAATAGCAAGGATTAAAATAAAAAAGTAATTTTTACTGGAAAACACGGGATGGATATTTTTTGTGATAAACTTGTCCAAATAAAAGCAACAGAGGCAACTGAAAACAGATTTCTTAAGATGGGGTGTGTTCCTGGGAAACAGAGTCACAGAATCTTACGATGTTAAGAAAAAGGACTTGTTGTAGATGAAGATTTCATGTAATGATCCCGCTTGGTCCTGATACGCATTAAGCTGTTGTAGCCTTTCATATTGGCTGTTGCCAATAGGAACGTGACTGCGCGTGGAACTTGATGGTATTCTGCAATAGAGGCAGAAAAGTTAGTTGCTGAAGTAATGAACTTTATGTGCATCTCACCTTGAATTATTTGTGGGAAATTACTGCATACATTGAAACACTGTAATATCTTCCTGTCCTCGTGAATAGTCCCATCCAGGTTCAAACACAGATTAAAAGTTTTGGTTTTTTTTTAAATCTTTATTAAGGCAAATCTAATAAACAATCAACAAGCAGTACTAATGGTGTTACATACGGTTGGAGCTATAGTATTTCAGAACAGATAAATATGATCCATACTGACATTTCAAAATTTGCACCTTTACATTTGAAGTAAAGTATTAGAGAGTCTTAAATCTTGCCCTGATTTTTTATTGAGAAGACAGTGGTAGCTTAACAGGTTTTTAAGGTCAATCTCAAAAGCTTTGTAAGGCCAAATGAGAGAAAATGGGAAAACCAGTCACAGAACAGAGGACAGAGCAGTAATCGTTGGTTTGTATTTTGCTGGGGCGGGGACAACCTGAATGCTTCATGTGAGCTTGGTATATTAATTGCATTTAGACAAATCACCTGCATTTTGGTCCTGTTGTGCCTTGAAAGTTGATTATTATTAAGCCTTAGGATCAGAATATCAGCTAGATTAATCTTTGGAATCGGTAACTCATTTGGACTGTGAATTCTAATAGGCTTCAGAAGAGGAAATTAAATTCTTTGAAGATTGAAGAGGTATTAGTTGTCTGGCATATTTTTGCTTGAATTTTGCAGCGTGGTGATGAAGGATTTTTATTACTATTATTCCCAATCTTTACGATGATTTAGTCTTGATTGCAGTTGGTGGATCTCTGAGTAACCTCAGAGTTACACTGGACAGTTTTGTTAAGTTCTGCTCTACAAATGAGCCTGATCAGAACACAATGAATGTTACTACGTGTGCACTCTGTTTTGCAGGCTTCCATGTTGCACATGTGAAAATCTCTCTTTCTGTCTTACTCCTTCATTTAAAATGACTTTTATATCAAGGCATTATATATGCTCAGTTTTTGAGCTTGCCTTCTTTCCTAGTCTGTTGTTGCCAGAGCACACTTGGAAAGCAGGAAATACAAGGAGGTGCGGAATTAGAGATCTTTTATCTTTATGATGTCCGTGTTGTGTTTTTGTTCAATTAAACAGGAATGTGGTTTTATGGTAGTATTAAAGTGTCATCTTTTATTGTTTATGTACTTCCCCCTCCACTCCCCATTAACATCTTCCAGTGCTCTGATTGCCGTAGTATCTGGTCATGCCACAGCATTTTCTTGGAAGCTGTCCATTGCTGAAGCTATGATCCAACCGTATTCACGAAAGGATCTTTGGCATTTCCCCTGGTTTTAATTTGCATTTGGAAGACGCAAATGAGGTATAATGAAATTGCAATATTTGAATTGTGTTCTGGTTACCAGTTATTTTTAGGAGAAATTTGGTTATACCTTTTATATTTGCATTGGGTTTAAAGCATAGCTAGGATTCCTTTCATGGAATTCCATAGGAATTTGTCTTGTTGAAGAAGTGCGCACAAGTGGAAGAGGGATTATCTTGAACTGCAGTCTTCGACAACGGAAATTCCATCTCTTGTCCCTGTGTCAGAGCTTTGTGTTCTTTGGGATGTATTCCTGGTCTCTCAAAACCAGAATTACACATCAGAAAAGCCTAAAAATGTGTCATAGGCAACATGTACATGTTGTCTCCTGTAAATAATGGAATAGCTCTACTAAATAGAAAACAACTATGCTGTGGCATAACTTTTAAAAAGAAAAAGCAATTTGTTTATTTTTCTGAATTGAGGAAATATGTAATAATTATTTGTAGAATTGGATAGTTAAACATTCATTAAACCTCCTTAGTAATGTCATTTTAGAAACAAATCATACTCTTTTGTGAAAAGGAAATGGGGGGAAATGGGTTTCTAGAAGGAGAAAGGGTCTTCTTTTTTTTTTTTTTCTTTTTTTTCCTTCTTCTGCAAAGTAGGGAAATAGAAGATAGAAATTTGATTAATGATGAAGAAATACAATTGTCCTAGGTTTGAAGCTGATTGTCTGTACTTCTGGTATTCAGAACAGTGAAATTTCCTTAAGCATATTTTCAGATTCATATAATTAATGTTCTACTTTAGACACTGGAATTGTGTAGCTTTGTTTACTTTTATGTGAGTATAAATTATTATGACTATGAAATGGTGTTCGGTCATAAAACATTTTTTTATTATATTAAATTGTTGAAGACCTCTACTCCCTTGTTTCCTTCCCTGCTGTTGTACAAGTAGAACAAAGCACATCAGTTTTTCTGATGTAAAAGTACCGGAATATTATCGTTGTTACTATTCCTCCAAAAATATTTTGCAGATAATAACTTTTTTAATGTCTACCTATCTTTTCATTCCTTCGTTTTGTTTCTTCCTGTTCAAGGTGAAATTTAAATATGCTTATCTTATAATGGAAATACAATGTCAAAGGATGAATAAAATACTGGGAATGCAGTCTTACAGCATATGGTTGTCTTACCTGGGTTTTAAACAATGTTTCTTTTCTTTACAGAATGCTGCCTTTTTATATGGCCTTGGTTTGGTCTACTTCCATTACAATGCCTTTCAGTGGTAAGTTGGAATAAACTAACAGTATCAGTATTGTGCAATGTTTTATTGGTAGGTGAATAATTCAACTTCGGTTCAGTGTGAGTGTACAATAGTTTAATTTTTTTTCTGATGTTTGAAGACATACTGTCCTGGGTCACATGTCTGACTTTCTGTAACATACCTGTGGCAACCACAGCAGTTGCTTGAAAAGGAAAGCGCTTATGGGAGAAAAATTTTAGCTCCCTATAATACAATTCAGCAAAAAAACTTTACTTCTCTCTTGGAAAAGAAGTGGCAAAGCGGGCTTGTTTTCATTTAGCTTGTATTCAATAATTTTTACATAGCTGTATAACATGAAAGTTTTGGACGTATACGCAGTATACTCAGACTTGAATCAGAACATTTAAAACTGATGTAAAAACTCAAGAGTTAGAAGGAGTTTAGATTCTGGCAGGGCTTTGGGGACTGAAAGGGGCTGCTGTTGGATGGGGGGGCGGAGGATTGGTTTTCCATTGTAGTTTTGGTTTTGCTTTATCGGTGATGAGAGAAGAATGATGAATGGAATAGACTCAGTCACTGGGGTTCTGTTGACAGGTCCTCCAACTTTCATTGGGGTTTATTCTTGCAGAGATCTATTTAGTGTCATTGGGGAAAAAAGTCAGAAAGGTGCAGTGTTTAGGTCAGTGCTTTTTTACGCTCAGTGTGGAAACTGTTAATAAGTGTGACTTTACTACTTGATGGATTGCTAAAAAGTTTATCATCTTGTTGGACTAAGCATGACTGCAGTTAAGGCGGCAGTAAGTGACTACTGAGTGATGGTTCGGAATAGTAAAGTGGGATTTCTCCTCCTAGGTCCCCTTCCCCGCCCCTGGCCCCAGTAAATTGTTTCTGTGTATCTGTAAGACAAAAGATTTGTGCTTTCCTCAGGGTAATGCAAATAAGCTTTTATTCCTGAAATAAAGATAAGTTGGTTAAATCATCAGCTCAGAACCTGGATATTTTTTTTTATCTTGCAACTTATTGCTTTCTTTATTGATAGTGGTGAAATGAATACCACGTAATGTACATTGGCATGCAATTCTATTGCATTCTAATTAACAAGAGAAGAACAGAAAAGTTTTCAGAAAACCTGAGAATACACTATTTTAAGATTGTGATCAATCTTGGTTGAATTTCCCCGAGTCTCAGAATGTTCTTGTTCTTATGCAGGCTTGGCTTCATCATTTAACATTCAGAAGTATTTTGTGCACCAGTTCTTCTTACAATGGATATCTCGTTACAGTTTGCACTGTGAAAATGGTAGAAAACTGTAAGATAAAATTAAATAAGACAAAGTAATTAGATTTAGAGCAGTTGATTTTTTTGAAAGAGCACCTGTTCAACATAGACTTTTGCCATCAGCGGATCATGCTATTTATTTAGCGCCTTCCAGCGGATGGAGCAGCAAAGTCAGGTGATTGTGAGGCCTAAGTATTAATAAATTAGAGCTTAGAAAAATCTAAATTAATTAATCCATGCCTTTAAGTAAGCTTGTTGAGAACATGAGTATAAATTGATGCCTTAACTTACGATGTCTTAACTGCACATAGAGCTTTATGTTAAGGTTGTGTAGAATAATCATATTTCCCATTTCATTCATACAACAAAGTTATGTGTGGTACAAAGAAAGTTGTGTATCATTAGAGTATTGGTTAGAATTTTTAGAGGACAAAAATCGTAACGCAAATAAAATCTTATGCCTTTGTGTGTGATTTTTTTTTTTTTTTTTTTAATCCCTTTGAGTGTTGTGTCTGCCCCCTCCCTCCTTTTAAGGTTTAAGGTAGTTTAAGCTATCATGCTTCATCCATGAATATTTTTTTTTTTATCCACACCACTTTAGATATTCATAGATTTCAATGAGAGGCATGCACATAGTCCTCCTAGAGTAAGGAAGTGCTTGAGGTTTTTTCATGTCTCATACAAACAGGGATAATAAAAAAGCAAGTGGGAATAAGGTCAGTTTTAGAATACTTGTTCATATTTTTACATTATTTTTTAAGTTTTCCAGCTTTCATAAAAAGAAGTGTTGACTTGGTTCCAAGACACATATGCAATTCACTGTAGCTTAATATTGTATGCTTCTCTATATACTGAAGCAGCATTACAGCATTACCTTAAGTGCAAATCTTAGCTGGTAGATCATTTTGTATTGGTGATTTTGTTTGACTATTCATGCAAGAACTGAAAGTTCTCAATGTATGTACAAATGTTGCAATAGTGTGACCAAAGCTATTTCATGCAATTATTATAGTAAGACATAAGGGATTATCTCCATAAATTGAATCAAGTACAGTAAAATAGGTCTTAGATCTTAAATTTTGATACTCTGTTCTTGTATACCATTTATCGTCAAGCAGTAAGTAAAGTGGTTGGCTGGTTTTCCCTGTTGTTTCCCTGTTTCTCAAGTAGGGCAGAACACCAGTAGCATAGAAATAGCTGAGATATTCACATAACTTGAATAATTTCATATACTCCTTACTTGTCTTTTAGATTGAACACATAAAGAATTTCAGTAGTTCATCAAAGGCTACCCTTCATTTCTGTGCAGTAGCTACGTCCAAGTATAGTGGATTGGATGCCAAATTTTTCCTTTTACTTCAGTAAGGATTCTGAGCCTGACTGGTCTATCATCTGCTGATTTATGCTAAGTCCCAACAAGGTAAAAAGATGGAGTCCAAGCTCTGCAACTGTGTCCTGAAACGGGCTCTGACACCATTTTTGGATCCCAGTGTATCAACTGTGGTGCTGCAGGGCCAGCCTGCAGTGTTTTCAGTGACTGTTACCTTGCAAATTGCTGGACAGTGCGTCTGAGAAAGACACACTGTTCCTCAGAAACATCTTACAGGAGACTGAGATAGGTCACACTTATTGCCCCATTTAGCATACCCTGAGGCTCCTCAGTCCAAGGATTCCTTATCAGCTGTAGAAGTTAAGTGTTATGTAGAACTCAGTCCTTCAGCATTGACACTTTTACAGGACACAGTCCTGAAAAAAGCCAAAGACTAATGCAAGAGATGATCCAGACCCTTTTCCTCACCTCCATCATGGCTAAAGATGCAGACTGCGTGGGGGAAAATCTGTCATCTCTGACTGAAACTTTTTGGCCCTTCTACAGCCATCCTTGCCAAAACAGAAGCACTGTCGTCATCTATTGAATATCAAGCAATATCTAGAACCACGGTCTCTGCTCCTGTCTCCTTTAAAGTAACTTCACAGCCAGCCCGCTCTATTTGCACTGCTGCATCCTGGCGTTTCTGTAAGCCAGGGTGTTCTTTATGCTGGAATTTCTCCTCTTAGCCTAAGTTTGACTCCTTGGAACAAGGGACATGGGAGTTAAGCACAAAAAACTTTTTTTTTCTTGTTCAACTATGATTCAAAATTGGATCTTGACATGAAGAAGGCAGCTGCAGTCTTTCATTATTCTTATCTAATTCAAGTAAAGACATTTAATGGGCAAGAGGGAGCAAGCATATACAACCCCACTTGGAGAGTGCAGCATTTCTGTCTCGAACAGACAAGCACTGAGCAGGCTCTCCACATCCCATTTCTCCTGCTGCCAAATTCCACAACCCTCCAAAGGCCAACAGACAGCAGAAGGCAGCCCTCAGTTGTTATCTGTGGTACTGCATCTCATCTCTTGGTCACCGTGCAGGCCTCCAGACACCTGAGAATCACTTCTCTTCTTGAAGTCTTGAGGGCTTCAGTGAGGCAGGAGCATTCTTTTCCACATACCTACAGGAAAACACACAGAACTTACCATCACCTGTGGGATGGCCTTAGTGCCGATTACACTGGACCATTTACTCGAGCTGAAGGAGTCTGGTCTTTCTCTTGCTCTCTCTGGCTGTCATTGTCTTTCATCTTTTTCCAGAAAATGAAGTTTGGCTGTTCTCACAGTCATCCTGAAATAGTAAAGCAGCTGTTTAAACTGCTTTTAAAGTACCCAGGTCTACAGTGGAATGTAAACATTTTTTTCAGTAGTCTCGTGTGCCAGCCTTCAGTATTGCACTCCTTATTCATCTCTCCAATAAACTACTGGTTTATGGTGGTTGCTGTTTGCCTATGAGAGTGGGAGAGTCCTGTGCTGTCAAGGTGCATTCTTTGCCCTTCTTTGCTTTCCCTGTCAATACATATATTTTTTTCAGGGCCAAGCTGTTAGTAACACAGTAAGATTTGTCTTTGAGGGGTTTTCCCCCAGCAGGACCAGATCCTTCAGATGGTTCTCAAGCTGTTTGTGTCAGTGGTTGGCAGATCCAAGGAACTGGTCTCTTCCACACAGAGCAGTCGAGTGGGTAGTGGCATGTGTAGGAGTGCAAACTGCCTAGTGGGCACCTCCTTCATTTGTGTGGGAACACCCCACCCATCATGCAGACAGCAACCACTGGACTACTTCATCAAATGCCACGTCTGCTCTGCACGCCTCCAGGTATATCAGTAGTTTGTGCCATTGCGGAGGGTGCACAGCATTTGATGAAATAGTCCAGTGGTTGTGGTTTGCATGAAAGCCTCTTGAGATTCACCCAGCTGTCAGTGACATTGCACTGGTAATTGGCAGTCTGTGGAGTTCCTGCTTTGGAAATACCTGCAATGGAAAGTCCAGGAGGGATATAATTTGAGAGCAGAAGAACAGCTTGCTTGCTTGTGATCTTCAAGTTGCGCATCTGTATTGGTGCTTCTTTCCCTGTTCTGTCAGAGTCCTTTCAGCTGGTCTGGTGTTTGTGGTTACCTTCATACGGAGGGCGGAATTTAAACACACACTGTGTAGTTACTGCTTTGTCAAATGTTTCTCAGGTTTCAGGTGACTGGGTCTATATATGTATTTTTTTAGATATAGAAAATGGTAATGGACATGTAGACTACACATACTGATTGTAATTAACCGTTAACAAAGTAGTAATTAGCTTTCTCTTTTGCTTTGCTGTCATCTCTTTCTGTGGTTGTGTATCGAACATCCTTCCTGGATTGATGAAAAAGCATAGCAT